CTAAAGAACATACAGCTATTTATCTGAAATGGGTGAAGAGGGAATGAGCAAAGGGGTGCTGTTCTGTATGGGTGTCTATCCCCTTACTCCACGGTGAATAAATAAAGTTGTGTTTGCTCAAGCCTGTCCCTGGTCAGTCTGTTCCCAGCCACAGTGGGGAAACTGAGTCACAACCACAGGAAAATATATCTACCTGTCCCACCTTTTCTAGAGAAATAGGGTAGTAGGGTCAAAAGAATCACTTAACTACTTTTGGAAGATTCAAATAACATTTGTTGAAAACACTTCAAGATGGCACATGATGAATCTGGGATTTCTTTAGTACAATTCTCTATTGATTATTAGCAATAGCATTTGAGTTGCGAGAAAACTTCTGATGGCTAAGAGAGAATTTCTGCTGTTAGCTCTTAATGCTAATGTCCTACTGTTGGAGTGGAGATAAATTACACAGTGGGAGTAAGAGACAGTGGGGCGAGCAGGGCTGCCCGGATGCCATGGCAGTACCAACATAAATCAATGGTGACTGGAGCCCTTTTCAGTGCCTAATGCAGGGCCAAGCACCCAGTTAGCACTCAATAAATATTAATTGCAAATACAACTGTGAGTCTGCAGCTAGAATAATGTGGTGCCGGTTTTCCCAGAAATGAAGTTGTTGGAGGAACAGAAAGGGCAAGGGAAATGATTTCACTGGCTGTTGGAAGAGTGCGTTGAAATCGCATGCAATTTGATCAGTCAGTGAGGAAGAGGCTGTGTGACTGACTGCTGTTTACAAACAACTGAGGCTACAGATGCCAAAGGGGTCAGGGAACCATTCAGCTTGGTCTGTGTTGGGACTGACCACTGTTTGTGGCTACAAACGCAGCGATGATTGTTACAGTTCTCTGTTAATGTCTTCCGGTGGGAAGCTACTAAGTAGACATTAGAAGATGTTCTGAGGTTTCAGACATGGAACAGCCACAGGGAAGAGAGTGGCAAATTCAGAACCTAACAATATTTCTTCTGACCACTTAGTGCTCTTCTGGGGTTCCATCTCTGTGTCCTCTTCTCCCTGCCCCCTGTAACTTGAGTCTCTGCTTTCCTCAAGTCTCCTGTCTTTAATCCTACATCTAATAACCTATTCACGCTTCTTTTTCTTTTTTTTTTTAAAGATTTATTTATTTATGCATACAGAACTGGGGTACAGGCCAGAAGTGTGTGTGTGTGTGGAGGGGGATTGGGGGGGAGGTGAGAGGACTCACCAGAGACAGAGCAGGGAACAGAACAGTCAGATCAACAAAGTACATGAGACGAGCAGTGGGTGAGACAGGAGAGGTCTGCTGCACCATGTGGGTCACTTCCCCGGTCAGGGATTGAACTTACGCTGCAGTGACTTCAATAGCTTCATAATGCTGTGCTTTAACCCATGGTGCCACCAGGGAGGGCCCTACACATTTCTTTTTATATCTGGAAATATTTCCCTTCTTTTACCCTAGTACTTTCTTCCTTAGAAATTATACCTGACTTGCTCCTTGCAATCCCACAAAGGGTGTGCAGCTTATTTCAAACTGAGAGCAAGAGACTCGCCCTTATTAGGTCCAAAGTGTCAGCAATATATCCTCCGATGTCAGTGACTCAGTTAGCAACTTGCTGCCCCTGAGAGGTTCTCACAGTGCAAAGACTGCTCAGACCCAGGAGGTACTGTCTCAATCAGAGCTACTTCTGACTAAAGACTAACATAAGCAGTTGATATTATAAGTGAAGATTCCACTCTACTTCCTTCAAGCATGTCAATTTAACCCACTAAGTCATTTACAAATTGGTGACAATCAGGTAGATATTAAAGGTGGAGAAAAATTGGCAAAAGTTAGATAAATATTCTATGACTTGAATTGAAAAGAGCAAAATATGATCCTGAAAAAACTTCACATACTGGGGTCCTGCAAATTAACATAATCTTTAAGAGACAGTTATTTCCCATTATTTGGAGATTAAAGCATCTCTCAAGGGAGCTCTTGTTTTCCAGTTTCCTCTGTTATTATTATTACTATTTAAATATTCCCTGGCACATCACCCCAACACTGAGTCATGAGATTTCTGGACTTGGAAAGAAAGATGTCTCTCTTTCATGTCTTTTAGTACAAGCAAAATAAATGAACAGCGCCAACAGAATAAATCCCCAACCTCATCAACCCTCCTAGGCTTGGGGAAAGTTTGATGTCAGTTAGATATACTCCCAAATGTTATTCTACTTAGTTGCTTCAAAATGACTGCCTGATAAAGAAGCATTTTTGTCCCCACATCCCCCCCCATGACCTACAGAATATTTAGGGAACTATTTGTTAATAAAGCAAATGTCTGTCCTCTTGCGACTTATACCTGATGAAAGAAAGATAAAATAATTACATAAGTATTTAGTTACTGGAAAGTGCTAGAAGTATACAACAAGATAAAGGGAATAAGATAGGATGGGATGGACTTTAAGGTGACACTCATTTACCCGGATGGCCCTGGAAGGCCACTCCAAGGAGTAACATTCAGGAAAGAACCTGGATACAAGACCACAAGACCATTGGTTGGGGGCGGGGAGCATACCAGGCCTGGGGAATAAGTGTGAAGACTTTGAGATAGGGACAAGCTGGAGGGCTTAAGGAACTATTCCTGGTAGCATGTGCAGGAAAGATGATGGTGGAACTGAGATCAAGTGTAGCCAGAGGCAGATTTCACAGGGCCTCACTAATCATCCAAGCAAGATATTCAGCACCATTTAGGGGTCACTCAGAGTTATAGTGATGCCATGGTAATTTTTGCACTTATTTGGAACACTAAATCTGTTCTACCACAGAGTTGAGGAGGGCAAGTATTCATCATGGAGGAAGGGGCAGTGGCTGCAAAAGTTTCCAAGAAAGATCAATTAATAACTCGTGAGGGGCTCTGCACTTACTTCAGGGAATGCTCTTGGGAAGAACAGCTCAAGAATAAGGATAAGGAGATGCCACATAAAAGAGGGTATCAAGATGCCATGGTCTCTTCATATATTGAAGTCTCCCAAGGTGCTAGTATTAGAATGAGGGGGTGAATGGGGAGGGTTTTGAGAAGTAATGAGTTTACAAAGGAGGATCTGTCATGAATGGGGTTGGTCATTTATAGAAGAGACCCCACAAAAAAGCAGGTTGAATAACCCCAGAATATCTTTAGCCCTTAGGCCATGTGAGGATACAATCAGCAAACCCAAACAGAAACTTTACCCAACCATGATCAAAGACTTCCAGCCACCAGAATGGTAAGAAATAAGTTTCTGTAGTTTCTAAGCCACTGAGGCTGTGCTGTGTTGCCCAGGCAAGCTGAAGGACTAAGCCGGAAATGTAAGCTCCTAGCAGAAGTAACTCCACAAGTAACTCCACATGCCAGAACCAGCATGGCTGTCTGGGAAGAAACATACCCTCAAATTTTGCTGAAACATAAGAAGTAAGGTAGTGTTTTTGTTTTTCAGAGAGGGGGAGAGTTTATAATAATAGCCTTTCTTAAGAGACTGATGATGGTTCAACTTTCTTCTTGGGTGCAAAATGTTAATAAATTATTGATTC